GCTCTTGTGAGTTGTAAATCCTCTTAGCTTCTTTAATGATCACACTGGTTTTTCAGTGTTTATGGTGTGATCATCTATGTTTTTGAAGCTGATTCGTGAAACTACAGGGGATTTGTTCAGTGTTCTGATGGTTTTTGGTCAGTGCTCTATTTCAATATAAAACGCGGTGTTTTAAGGGATGATGTTTTTTTTTTTAGTGAACATACAAAGTGATATCATATTTGGTGCTATTTTTTGGGTGTTTTGTTAGCACAAATAGTTGGTTGGTACTGTACCTTGGTTTTTGCATAGTAAATGAAAGGAGAAATATCTCAGCCACATATTTAATTTTTCGTTATTTTGCTTGTTGAGCACAAATTCGTTGAACTTCTCTTTGATTAGTTCTATTTCTTTCTCTAGGGAACATTCTTTTTTTAGGGTTTCTCTTTCGTTGAATAAGAGAACATAGTATTATTTGGGCACACATAGATGCCCATAACTTAGATATTAAATTGAATACATAAAACTATTTCTTGTGGACCTCCTATCTACAAAATTTTCTAGAATGCCGAGAATTATGAGACTGTATTGATTGTTTTATTGCTGAACCGACAAGTAGACTTGTTGATTCCAAGTGGACAACAAGTGATGCAAAAATGAAGACATAGATCATGAGGTCCTTTGAAACCTCCGTTGTTGTCAATCTGAGCCCTTTGCACGTAGCAAAGATAACGTGGGAATATCTTAAGAGTATATATTAGCAATCCAACAAGGCAACGATGTATCAACTTGTGCGGGAATTAAACTCTTTCAATCAAGGATCAAAAACTATTTGAAATTCCTGTACGGGCTATAGATACAGTACTCAAATTTAGGCAACGATCATGCTCTTGACAATTTTTAATGAAACTACAATATAAGTTTGAACAAGTGCGAGCTGCACTTCTCAATTGAGATGGGAGCCATGACATTGATGAAATTCTTCTCGAACTATTTGCTGAAAAAACTCACTTAAAGTCTCTTTCAATCCATAGCGATTCTTTTAGAGATTCTGCCCTTTTAACAAATTCAAGTAAAGGGAAAGTTTGAGATATAAGTAATGTTCAGTGCTATCATCGTAGGGAGTGGGCCATTTAGCTAATAATTGCAAGAAGAAGAATACCTACAACTACTGCAAGGAAGCTGGACACGTAATCACTGAGTGCAGGAAACGACCCCAAAACAAGAGGCCACCTCCCAGAGCCTATGTTGCAGTTACCACCTCCTCAGAAATGGCCAACGTTCTCACTATGTCTTCTGTTGTACCTGCACCAACATCTCTTCCATCTCCAAGTCCGTCGCCTCCTCTTACACTAAAATTTTTTCAACAAGTCATACAAGCACTCCATGTTTCTAGTTTTTGGTAAGGCTGATCTTAAAACTTCTTGGGTATTAAACTCTGGTACATCCAATCATATGACTAGAAACTTGACATTCTTAAAACAAGTTGTTCCATATAAAGGCACTCAGAACGTTTATATTGCAAATGGTAAATCACTTTCTGTGTCGAAAGTTGGCTCATTGCTCATGACATCTTCTAACTCTCTACCTTTATATCTTTCTAATATTTTCTACGTGCCTAGTCTATTGGCCAATTTAATTTATGTCGGTCAACTCGTCAAACAAAATTATATTGTTTCATTTTCTACTTCTGGATGCGTGATATAGGAACTGCAGACTGTGAAGGTGATTGGGAAAGGTCGTAACAAGGGGAAACTCTTTGTCTTGGACGTCAAAATCGACTCAACTTCGCCTCAGTGTTTTTTTCTCCTTCCAATTCGGAAACAAATTCTGAAAATATACTTTGGAGGCTTTGGCATTATCGTTCCATCCTCATCATTTAAACTTAACATCTTTGTTTTCTTTTGGTGCTAAGGTTGTGGTTGAAAAATCATGTGAAGATTGTATTCTTGCCAAAGCTGTAATTTTACCTTTCAGTTCTAGTAGGACTCGGGTATTTCTTCTTTTGATTTAAGTCATAGAGATGTGTGGGGATTGGCACCCATTAGTTCCTTAGCTAAAAATTTTGCTTTGTTTCCTTCATTGATGATTCGTTTAAATATTCTTGGATGTATCTTTTGCATCGAAAATTTGAAGTATTACAGGTGTTTAAGAAATTTCATGACATAGTAGTCACCCAATTTAACTGGCGCATGAAAATTTTGTGCATAGATTTAGGTGGAGAATATATGTTAATAGCATTCAAAGATTTCTTGGCTAAAGAAGGAATTTTACATCAAAGAAGTTGCCCTCATATACCACAACAAAATAGTGTTGCAGAAAGAAAAAATAGGCTCATTCAAGAACTTGCCAGGGAACTTCTTCTTCATTCCAATATGCCTAAAGTACTTTGGCCAGAAGCCTTCTTAACTAGTGTATACTTAATTAATAGGTTGCCTACACCTATATTAAATGATACTTCACCAGTAGAAAATTATTTGGGCATCCCCCTAACTACTCCTTACTTCGAACATTTGATTGTACTTGTTTTGTTCTTCAAACTCTATCTAAAGGATCTAAGCTAGATGCTAAATCTATCAAATACATGTTTATCAGATATAGAGAATCTCAAAAAGGATATCGTTGCTATGATTGGGAAGCTAAGAAATTGAGAGTATCCCGAAATATGATTTTTTTAGAAAATATTCCATATTTTTACAAAACTTCGTCTTCGTATCAGTCATTACCCTTGGATTTATATTCTATTTTGTCTCTTTTTTCTGATAACTTGCAGCAATCCAGACAATAGGAAAGAGCTTCCTTGACTACGCCTCTACCATCACCTCTGGAACCAGGTACTATAAATACTCCACCACCTCCTCCTCCCCCATTGGAGTTGCAACGCTCCACTCGAGTTCCTAAACCACTTGTTCGTCTTTCTTTAATTTCTATATTTGAACCATTTTGCATTCCTAGTTCTTTCAAACAGGCAGCAGAAAGTGCAGAGTAGGGTCAAGCCATGCAAACATAATTTGAAGCCTTGGAGGCTAATCATACTTGGAATTTAGTCTCACTTTCCAGATGTCATATTGTGGTAGGAAACAAGTGGGTCTATACAGTAAAATTAAAATTTGATGGAACATTGGATCGACATAAAGCTAGGCCCATCGCAAAGGGTTATAATCAGTAACATGACCTCGATTATGAGTAGAATTTTGTACCAGTTGCTAAAATGATCAGTGTTCAAACCTTGACTGCGGTTGTTACGGCATGCAATTGGGACATTTTCCATATGGATGTCAATAATGCCTTCCTCCATGGGGACCTTTTTAAAATTGTTTTTATGTGACCGCCGCCTAGGTATCCCACTTTGTCTCCTCATATGGTGTGTAAATTACGGAAGATCATTTATGGCCTAAAACAAGTACCTCGTGTTTAGTTTGCAAAGCTAAAGAGTATGCTTCAGGGAGCGGGTTATCATCATGGTAACAATGACTAATCTTTTTCCATTTCATCCACGTCCAAGGGGAACGTCTTTATCTTAATTTATGTTAATGATATCTTAATTACAGGTGATGATCATCAAGGAATCCAAGTCTTGAAAATGATGATCCAAAATTCCCTTTCAAATGAAGGACTTGGGCCATATTACCTATTTTTTAGGACTTGAAATTTCTCACTCATCCAAAGGCTATTTAATTAGTCGAAGAAAATACACCAAGGATTTGATAGAAATGGTTTAACTCACAGATGACAAACGGGTAGATACACCATTGGAAATAAATTTCAAATATGGAACGACTGATGGCGGCCCCATAGCTGATCCGACTATGTATAGCTGTTAGCTTAGTCTATCTTACTGTGAAATGACCAGATATAGATCATGTTGTTCAGCTTGTCAGTCAATTTATTTCAGATCCTCGGAGATTTCATCTTACTGTTGTTCATCGCATTATTTGCTTTCTTTGATCGACAACTGACGTAGCCCTTTCATATGATAGATCTTCGTCTTTAGTCTTGAAAGCATATTCAGATGTCAATTATGTTGGTTGCCTCGACACGCGTCGTTCCACTCCAGCTATTGTATCTTTCTTGACACTTCCCTAATCTCTTGGAAATCTAAGAAACAACCTACAATGTCGAAATCTTCTACAGGGTCAGAATATCGGGCTATCTTCTACATGTAGCGAAATTATCTAGTTGAGACGACTTCTATTAGATCTTGGCATCACTATGGTTTCTCCTACTCTACTATTTTATGACAATGAAACACAGCTAAGATTGCTACCAACCCGGTTTTTCGTGAAAGAACAAAGCAGATTGAGGTCGATTGCCATTTTGTATGAGAAAAGTTTGAATGAGGAGATATATCACTACCACATATTCCTTCCAAAGATCTGATTGCTGACATTTTTCACTAAGACATTGTCCAAAAGGTGCCACGATTATTTGATGGACAAACTGATGTTGTTATACCCCCATCAGTTTGAGGGGGAGTGTTAGCAAATACGGCTTTTTAGGTTGAATGTCTATCTCTTTGTAAAGTAGGATAAGGATAAGGCTCTTGTAGTTTGAATGAGTTGGTTTTGCAGGATAACCAATTCCTATTTTGAAGGTTGTAACGCGTACATACGTGCTAAAACACTTGTATAAGTATATGAAATTTTTCCCAAGTAAATAGAAAGAGATACACTTACTCTATTTGTTGACAAACATTGCCCAATAAGATTTAGTAGTTTTAAGGAGCCTACCATTCTTTATTCCTTCAGCTTTGACCTTTGTTTCAAGTGTTTGAATCTTTGATCATTGATGTAGAAATGCAACTCTAGCTCCAAAAAAAAAAAAAAACAGACAGAAGTGAAAAGAAATAACAAAAAAAGTCGGCATAGACATTACAGTTTTATTGATAATTCATAGCAAAAATAAACTTTTTCATCCTCAATTACAAACATATGGCTTCTAAGAGACCCCAAAAACCTAATAATTCATAGCGCAGTTGAATTATTCTTCCTCCTGTAGAAACATATGGCATCTAAGGGACATCAAGAAACTATGGTGTTTGTCAAAGCCTTCAAGTTAAGAGGCCTTATTCTTGAGCTCTTCCCACTCCAAAAGGCCTTAGAGAGAAGGTTGTTGGCGTGCTCTGTTGGATGAAAGAAATCCCAAAACAAATACTCATCAGGATTCTGGCAAATCTGATAACCATCTTTGCCACATTGGACCATACCTCCCAAGACTCCACCACCACAACAAGCACTTGACATGTTTTTAAAACCTGCAAATGAAATTCCAATGCCTTATACTCAAGCAAGCCTCAAGATAGAAGTTAAGCAACTGGGTATTTATCCCCTTTCATTCCTTTTCCCGGAAGTGTGGAATTTGAACTCAAAACCAAATGTTTGAGATAATTTGATCTGTCTTTTTTTTATTTTGAATTAAATGGAAATTACGAAAGTTAGTTAGGCCCAGAATTTACCAAATGTTTGCCAAGTCAACCTAAAATACTAAGAGTTGAATTGAGAGACCCTTTAAAATAAGAATGACATTTGTATAAGGTGCCCACCTTATACTATATGAGTAAGGCGTACTTCAAAATTTTGCCAGAAGATGTAGTTCTAATGTCAAAAATGCTACAATAGTTTGAAATCTATGTTTAATCTAATTATGAAATGTAAAGTTTCAAAAACAGCTGAAACCTAGCAAAATCTATAAAAACTTAAAAATATTGAAAAAAGACGGTTCAGGTAACTTCTTACAAGTTGCACTATTTTTAGGACTGGAAATTCTTTTTTTCATATATCTATATCTTTCGAGGTCAAGATGATCAATCGAAAGGCTTTCCAACTTTGGGACACTCTTTTCCGCTCAATTTTTGAGTTCTACTTAACCTTATATAAAGGTTTTCCTTAAGAGTATGTTTGCTAACACTTTAATATTCTAATATTTTATGATAAGTTGGTTGACCATGTTTGATAGGAACAAATCCAAATTACTGTCTAATATTCCAATATTTTATGATAAGTTGGTAGACCGTCTCTCTCTCTCTCTCTCTCTCTCTCTCTCTGTCGTGNGGTAGCGAGACACGACGAGAGGTAG